CTGCTGCTGCTGCTGCAACCCGGGGCGGCTTTCCCAGCCGCGGGGGTTCAGGTTTCGGACAGGCTGCCTTCCTGAAATCTGTTCCGTGGTACGTAGTGTGCGTGATGGGTTGGTTGGCTTTGGGGTTTGTTTTCGCTTTGGGGTTGTTGGTTTGGGTTGGTTTTTTTTTTCTTCCTCTCTTGACATTGGGCTGAGCTCTTCAGTGTCAAGCAGAGAAAGTAGACTTGAGCACCGGCAGGTTTTGCCCAGCGGTTAAAACATGCAAGGGGAAAGTGAAGATCATTCGGCTGCTTTAATCTGAGTATTTATTGAGGCGTTTCTGTCGGAGCTAGTGCAACTCGAAACGTTTTCTGCAGTGACTTTGGCACAAGGTTAGTAAGTATTGTTTCAAGGCAGGACTTCCCTTGTGCTATTTCTAGCAGATGTCAGAGTCTGCATTCCAAAAGGAGTTTGATTCTAGTGTTTTTATATTCTGAGGTAGTTTTATATACTTGTAAGAGAAGTTTAATGTAAGGTTCTTTGCACACTATTATCTGCTATATGTTCTGGGTGAATTGAAAATTGGTGACCAATACTTGAGCTGCACGCACTAAAGCTGTATGAAATTGATAGGAAAGGTATTATTTAAAGAAATCAGCTTAATTTTTTTTAGCTTGCTTCATTAATCAGTGCTAGATGGAATGTGCTGATCTTGACTTTCCTAAGTTTCACTTTTACCATCAAAGGTTTTATCTAACAGTAGATAAAGGACTCATATATCCTGAGTTCAGAACAGATAGCAGATGTAAGGTGACTTAATCTGTAGTCTGTTCATGGCTTGGATCCTCTTCCTTTGTTTGTAGGTGTTGTAGTTATCTTTCTAGTTGTGTGGGGTTTTGTTTGTTGTTTTTTAAAGAAGACCTGTTTACAAGCTGATGAAAAACCTCAGCCAAGGGATTCAGAAAGATTGCTTAATTTCTTGGTTAAATGAGTTGTATATTCAGCTAGGTAGAATTTGTCATAACAAATTAAGCTTGTCACTTTTATAGAAACTCTAAGGTCAAAATACTGTGGGTCATAGTCCTTGGATTTAGTTATCTTTACTATGGCGTAACATGCTATCTCTTGTATGTATGACTGATGTACTGTAAATAAAAGGTGCACACAGTTCAACTAGCAAATATTAATCTCTGGAAGTTCACTGTACTGCGTTAGTTAGCTTCATATTTCTTGAAAACATAATGGAATGTCCAAAGGCTAGATGTGCACACGTGTAGTGCTGTGAATGAATGCATGCGTGCTCTTTGGGATACAAATAGTTGTCTTTAATACATGTCTGGTTTGTGGTCTGGAAGACATGTATGAGTGTCGCTGTTACCACTTAGACCTACTACCTTAGCAAATTCTGGATTAAAAAGTTACCTGTAAGCTGTGTCCAAGTCTCCTTAATGAGACTTCTAATTACCCATTTCCTTGTGGTGTTGAAGGTAACAGGAGCAGTCATAATACTCTGCAGTCAAGGGAGAACTCTGGTTATGGGTGCTCTGAGCAAATCTGTCTAGAAGAGTCCTTGTGTCTATCAGAGTCTTTTTTTGCTGCCTGGCAATGTAGTCAGCTGCATTAATCTGTCAGGTTTTGAAAGTCTTTGGTATGGCGATGGGAGACATTAAGAGAGGGTGAGGGACTTAACTAGAAGTAGGAAAGCTAGGATTTTATGATTGCTGAGTAAGGCCTGGGGAGGGGGTTCCTGTCTTGGCTAGCTGTTGTACTGGATCTAGAACTGTGGAGTCCTTAGCCCCTCAAAGTCATGAAACCAGTGCCAGTGTTTCTCTGTCCTTCTTGTGCTTAGAAACAGGTGACAACCTTTCCCCCCGCCCCCTTCATTTCAGTCACTGGAGCACAAAAGAACAATTCTGTTGTCCCTTCTGTTCTGCAGCTCCTACTGAATGTAGTAGAAGCCAAGGCAAGCCCTCAGTGATTCAAGGCATGTAGGCAGTGCCCCAAACAACTGAAATGCTGTTCAGCTCATAAACTTGAGGAAAGGAAGAGAGCATTTTTCAAACAGTTGATTATGGCACCAGGCACAGCAAGAGGTATCTGATGTTTGGATACTTAAGGTGTGTCTGTATCAAGAAAACCTTTATTGGCTGTATGAGTCTCTTACCAGCTTGATCCTAATTCTCCTCCCCACCAGATGACTAGAAATGTATTAGAAATATCTAGTGCAGCTTGACTC